CAAGCGTGTCGCAAGCGTTGCGGTCCAATCAACGTCAAGCTAGCTCAACTCTGATTGGACTACAACGCTTGCGACACTCTTGCGACACTGCGATGCGACTAATGTAGAACCAGCTTTAGACCGCCTTAAGGTGCAATTTCATGGGTGTGTCATTTGTCGCGCGCGTCAGGCCGCGTCATTCTAAAAGTAACTAGATTTGTCGCACGCGTGAAACTTTATAAACATAACCTGAAAATTACTTACAAAAGATATCAGTAGCTACGTTTACACCGTGCGCTTAGTCCGCGACCTATACGATAGGTGTCTTTGTTTAACCTACAGGATAAACAAGGACATCTATCGTATGGGTCGCGGACTAAGCGCACAGTGTAAACGTAGCCATTCGCTATTAACAACGATGCAAATAAAATATGCGGCTTATTCATATTGAGTGTTTTATACAAAGCTCAGTAATAAGTCATCATATGTTTTAAATCCCATATCAAATAGTATTTTCACCACGATTTAGTAAGGGATAAACCTTAAAATTCTCAATATCAACATCTTTTCACCATAAACATTTATTTCTTTTATTAACTTGGGGTATGTCGATTTCCTGATAGTTTTCAATGGCTGTTTTCCTTTTAAGAGACACAGTCGACACAAGTATCGTTCTATCTTTGTCACTCTCTGAATGTCCAAGAAGGGTAGAACGACGCTTGTGTCGATTTGTGTCATCAAATGGAAAGCAGTGAATATCTAGAAATAACTAGATTCTAGTGACTTCTAGTATTGTCGCGTTTGACGCGTATACAGTTGAATTTATTCAACTGCAAAAGTGTCTTGTGTTTTGTCGCATGTTTTGAAAAATCGCGGAAAGTGCTAAGAAATGAATTGTTGCTTTATATGAGAATATTGATAATATAAATAATATTATCAATATTCCACAATATTGCACTAGCTTAAGACCATCTCGAATCTTGAGCAACGTCTATGGATTCCGTCCTATATTTCGGTCAAATACATGATATTTTAATATTTAATTAAACATGTTTAAAATCGCGGAAAGTGCTAAGAAATGAATTGTTGCTTTATATGAGAATATTGATAATATAAATAATATTATCAATATTCCACAATATTGCACTAGCTTAAGACCATCTCGAATCTTGAGCAACGTCTATGGATTCCGTCCTATATTTCGGTCAAATACATGATATTTTAATATTTAATTAAACATGTTTGGATGATTCACAAATGTTTTTAATGGTACTTCATAACTCTTCATACGAAATACAAACAATTCCATGTATAAACTTTGTTGAATTTAAATCCAATTAATTATTTCGGTCAAGTACATGGTCCAAAAAAGAATGATTAATTGTAATTAATAGAATGACTCACAAACTTTTTTATTTGCATTTCTAAACTCTTCATACGAAATATAAACGATTTAAAATAATAATTGTTACAACCGGAGGTTTTGTCCGGTCACGTACATACGAATACCTGGCGCTATATGGGCCCCATCTAATTTTCCACGAGTTAATGTAGGCGCTATAAGTATCTTGACGAAAACAAATTTCAGAGGTTTCCAACCACGCATTTTAAAGCTTAAAAATATATTATATCTAATGAGATAAATGTTTATATATTAGGATATAAATAGATGAAAGTATATCTACATCGATCTACTTTGATCTCATTAAATCTAAAAAAAGATCTTAAGAGATCTTTTTTTAGATTTAATGAGATCTACATATATATATATATATATATAGTGAAATCTTCTTCATTTTTTCCCGGGTAGATTTAAAATAAATTTTAAACGCATAATGCGTCGTCTATAATTCACGGAGTAAGAAGTAAGAGTAAGAAATTGACCATTCACAGTCAATTGTGAGAAGAATACTGTCGTCGATATATCGACTGTGGTCAATTTCTTATTCTTAGTACAGTAAACTTGTGGAATCACTTTTCACACGTACTAAGAAAAGTGATTCCACAAGTTTCGGGATAGAAATTTTAATCTCGGAGATGACGAATGGCCCGGACAACCAAAGAAGTTCGAAGATGATGATTTGGAGCAGTTATTAGCAGAAAATCATGCCAGTTCGAATCTGAACTTCCTTCAGCATTAAAAGTAACTCAGCCAGCCTATTCGGTTGCGAAAGCTGGGAAAAATTCAAAAAGAGGACCGTTAGATTCCACACGTTCTTTCCGTAGACAACAAAGCGAGACGCTATGATACGGCTCTCTCTTTGCTTTCTCGATTTAAAAAGAAGGACTTTTTGCACAAAATAGTGACGGGAAATGAAAAGTGGGTGTATTACGACAACCCAAAAAGACGAAAATCATGGGTGAATCCAGGTGAGCCTTCGACATCGATCGCGAAATCCAATATTCAAGGCAAAAAAGTTCTTTTGTGCATTTGGTGAGACTTCAAGGGTGTGATATACTATTTGAATTGCTTAAACCGAATGAAACTGTCACTGCTGAACGTTACAAACATCAACTTCAGCGTGTGCGTGATGAAATCGAACGTAAAAGACCTTTTACTGACAAAAGGCCTAGACTGGTAATATTGTTGCACAACGCAATGCAGTGAGAAATGGCAATGGAATCGATATCGAATCGATGTCGATTCGACGTCGAAATCATTAAATTGACGTCGAATCGACGTC